CCTATATATATATAGGGCCCTTCACTACTTAGTATACAGGAACTAAGCTGAGGATAGCATAAATTAAGTGATATGTGATAATGTGTAAGCACATCCATAAAAAATTGTTCATTACGGCACATCCCACATAGTCCATAGCACGCTGCAGCAATTCGTAACAAATTAATGCACAATTAAATATTGAAACATTAAACCCGAATTTGCCACACAATTTGCCATACAATATATGTTAGTATTTCTTATCAAAAAGTATATATATATATATATATATATACTGTATTACACATATCATATGCGCAAAGAAAGAAATGTATATATAATGTAACGCTACATATATCTTGAAATCTTTCAATTGAATGTCTCTTTATTTAAATTTAAATTTATTCATGAATTTAATTCGTAGGAATTATACCCATTCAATGAACGTAAACATGCAAACAAATACCTAGATACGAACATATAACCAAACAAAGTATAGTTCTCTGTAACTCTCTAACTCTGTTCGGCTACATATTTGTCTATTGAACACAATTAATGTGTGACTCGAGTAGTCGTCGTCTAGGTCTCAATATATAATCCACTGCGAATTTCATTCATTTCGCGCTGAATAATGCCACTCGAACACGACACATCATGTGTGTGTGGTCATCGCTGTCTCCTGATTCTACCCGTACTTAATTTATAGATATAATGCATGTATAACCTTACACGCACACTTTATTTCGCACGACGTCTAATCTTTTCCACCTACATATTTGAACTACCACGGTGGTCGTCTCCTAGACTCGCATGGCGCCAAAATGAAACCCGTTCGAACGACGCGCTGTACATGTCAACGTAAGGACTACGTGCACACGCACGCACGCACGCACGTGTACGTGCACACGCACGTACGCACGCACGTGTACGTGCACACGCACGCACGCACGCACGCACGCACGCACGCACGCACACACATGTACGTGCACACGCACGCACGCACGTGTACGTGCACACGCACGCACGTACGTACCTTGGTACCTTGGTACGTACGTGTAGACCTACGTGCACGTGTACGTGCACACGCACGCACGCACGTGTCGTACATACGTATCAAGAGCACATAATAGAGACTCTCTATTATGTGCTCTTGATACGTATGCACGCACACGCGCACGTGTACGATCACACGCACGCACGCACGTGTACGTGCACACGCGAAGACTGTAGGATTACAATGACACAGATGCATGCGTATGTATACTGTACGGTCGAAATACGAAATATTTTGTCACAAATTACTTGACCCGGAAGAATTCGTGACAAAGTTCGCGCATTATTTCGTATCACTATTTTATCAAATTTTTCATAAAATAATGATCGGATTTTTAATATCTTTGCAACTTTTATTAGTACAAATCTTATTACATAGGATACGAGTAACTTGGCCGCTTTAAAACTTGTGGTAAAAAAGCGTTAGAGATTCTCACGGAAATCTACTTGTGGCAGGGCCCAAAGAGCCCATAATTATGCTGAGAACAATATATACATATTACCATCATAGATATAGAGGAAGATATCTTCTTCTATAT